CATGGCAGGGAGAAAGTTCTCCTCTGCTACCTTCTTCAAGCCAGACTGCCAAGATAAGAGAAGCGTTAAGGAAGAAGGCTTGGAACTGTTGGCCTCAGAGAGTTTGCACCACAGGGAAATCATTGTAGTCAAAATGCAATACAAAACACAAATCACTTCTCTGGCCTGCACACATGAGTAGCTTAGAAACTCTCTAAGTCTTCTGGCATGTTCTGCATAATCCCCCCCACATAGCAGATGCATGCACCATCTGAGCATTTATTGGGGTTCAGCTACATATAAGACACTGCTTTAGATGCTTTACAGGCATCAATTCATTAAGTTCCCCCAAAAGCCCTGTAAATCAGGTACTTTACTACTACCATCCAAATAAAGAAAGTGACACTCGGATTGAGAAACTGGCTCAAGTTCACATGAATATTAAGTGGCACTATCAAGATTAAAGTCTAAACTATTGAATTCAAAAATCCATATTTTTTCCCTTCTGCCACACTACATTGCTAATACATGGGAGCGAATGCTTAGTAGTTTCTTTGGATGTATTTTTATCATAGAACTAGCCAAAAGTTACTTAGAAACAATTTCCTGCTGCCTAAGTGTTCCCAGATGGATCATCCGAGGAAGAGGCCTTTCATTGTCCCTCTGACTTCAGCAGTATTGGGAGTTCTGGGACCCCTGAAGAACTGTGATTATGTCAGTGCTTCTGTAAACAATTTATCACTTGAACGCTGCTGTGGGGAGAATTATAAGCAGTCCTAGAACTCCAAATTTTGCCTTTGTTCCTTCATCCTCTTATGCCCTGGAAGAAATATTTCCTTTTTTTCCATGCAATTAAAAAAATTCTGTAGCTTTTGATAATAAAAAGAAATGCAAGGCTATACTTCCTTTTTGCTTGCGTAAATCATTCCATATGATTGGAAGGTTTTACATGAGAAGAAAATGATTAATTAATATCGTGTTTAGATATTTTTTCCCATCTAAATCTTCAGAATTGGGGGATAGTTTTTGGCATGGAAGAAGAGTTGAGGGTAATGGTAAATGCAATTATCTGCATTAAGCATCATGAAGATGCTCTGAAAATTATAAAATACCATATAAACGTTATGTAGTTGCATCATAGTTATTACTACAAAAGTTATAGGATTGGAAAAAGAGTAATTATGATAGCAATGTATTCCATTGCTTTCCCATACTGTTTTCCCATGTTTTAAAACATTTCCTAATTTGATTCCACTCAGCCCTACCAGCTTCATCCTCTACTCTCTACAACAAATCTTCATCTTCTACCTCCATCAAGTTTGTCTAATTGGTAAAGGTGAATGTTCATTGTACATTCCGGCTCTAACCCTTCACTAAGGCTACTCACTGACCATAAATGACATCCCTTCCACTGCCCTTCTCTTGCTCGAATTATTACCCAGACCCCACCCTTCTTCAGGTCACAGTCCAAGTCACCTCCCTGACCACTGGTCCACGGTGACCTCTATCTTCCCTCAACACCGATATCATTTACCATCCAGACCACCACCCAGGCTCTCACTGACTTGTCACAGTCCTATGTGTGTTTGCGCATCTGTGAAGATCCCTAGAGGAGATGAATTACCTACTCAATAAGGGTGATTGAAGAGAATTTCATTAAGGAAATTCATTTTTATAGAAATGTAGATAGCAAGAAATGATGAAGCACCTGGGACAAAGGCAACAGGAGGAAGCCTCGACTACCCCTAGGTCTGAAGGAACAAGTGGAGGAAGAGGTTATTATAAACCAGTAAGAACAGTAGCTTAGAAGAAGAGCTCCTAGCAGGAACTGTGGCTTGGGAAAGGGATTCAGCCGCTATCAAGAGGACGCCCAACAGGGAAGAGTCAGGAAGTGTCCAAAGCTCCGTCTCCTCCTGCCCTTTAGTCTCCCGCTGGTCTTCCCATTCCCTGAACCCACAGCTCATGCAGCCTATGGAAGTCATCCTGCCAGGACCCAGAGCAGGGCAGAGTTTGTGTTTGAAAGGGCAGCTCAATTTGTATGTCTTGCTTCCTGAATTGAATTGATTGTAATCTCCATTGGTTCCCTCCTCTTGTCAATCAAACACTGACTTTCGAGTTCCCCCAAATCTAGAAAGAGGCAGTGTGTAAAAGTCTTCCCTTTTCACTCAGGGCAGTGTCTGGACTCCTGGACTTTGAGAAGGCCGCCAGTCCCTATTTTCTGCTTCCAAGATCACCTTAAATGCCCCATGATGTTAGTTCTATTTTGCCAACTCTTCCATGCCTAACAAGCACTAAGAACTAATGCACCAGTGGCTTTAATTTAGGAGTATAAGATGGCATCGTTACTTTATTTCCTTGGCTGGATTAGCATATATTTGCATAGTTGTTATCCAATATCATTGAGGCATACCTCTAGCTGAGAAAACCAACTACCAATCCACTTAGTGTCAATAAAAAAAATTAAAAGAAAACGAAAAGAAAGCAAACAACTATTTCTTGGAGGATGGTTTTGCATATTTCATGCATTGCTTCTCATTGGTGACAAGTGTGACCAAACATATGAAGAAGGCAATTTATCACTGACATATGTGTTTTGAAAATCATTTCTAATCAACCATTTTATGGCAAGCTGACAGAAAAATAGCCCAGTTACTTGGTATCTAATTTTTTTTAAAAACCCAATGTATATTTTTTATTCTCGGTGAAAACAAACAAAAACTGAGCCACTGAAAGTGAATCTTGCCATGACTTGGTATCAGCACTCCCCTCTTCCTGCCACATTTTGCACAGAGCCACACACGTACTAGTACCGAATAAACTCTTGAAGGTGAAAGAATAATTGAATGAAATCCTCCATGCCTCCACATTCATTCATTCTGATGTGCAACACCCTCACTGCCGGGAATCTCATTACTCACCTGCAGTCCTCCTGCGACAAAGTCAACCTCCTCCCACTCTTCCCCTCTTTGGAGATGGAAACAGCTGATAAACCCTCTCGGTCCACACAATAAATTTTAAAGTGACTACACAGCCTTCATGAAATAGTAAAAAGAGTCATGGCATCCTTGCTAAACCTACTTACAAAGGGCAAAGTTTCCAAAATGAATCAATTTGCTTGTTTGCTAATCCTCCAAATCAATGTTATTTCCCCCTCCATCACCCACCTCAAAAAAGCCCAAGAAGGTCAGGGACCTGATTTGTCTTATTCCCCCATTGATTCCAGCCATCAGCAAAGTGCCTGGCACATAGTAGGAGCTTAATAAATATTTCCAAAAATGAACAGAAATCTACCATGTATCACCTTCAGCTACAGCTTCACTCTAAGTATGGATTACCCCACTGATAGAAACCTTTCCCTAAATAATAATGATTACGGTAATAACAAGGACAATAATAACAATAAAATGCTTACTAAATCTTATGCTCTGTTTTATGCGTTTTCATGTATTAACAATTTAACCCTCTGATAGAGTTCAGGACATGCTACCCCAAAATATGGTGCCTTGGTATATTGACTATTTTCAGCTGAAGGAGTTCGAGGAAATGGCAGATCCAGGAGGGTCACTCTGATCCACCCTCCACCTTCTCCCCTGAAACAGGTCATAAAACCCTCCTGTGGGAGGTGCCCTCCCTATACTTGGAGGAAAGGAGCATCCTTCTCTCTGAAGACACAGGGACACCAGAGAAGAATCCTAACAGGCCTCGCTAAGTTTCCCCAGTTTACTACCCTTACCTCTTTCCCCTTAAAGACCTATCAAATTTCTTCTTTACTACTCACTCTTCATCAAACCTACCATAGAAATACTCAAGTCTAACTGTTTCTTCAGGTCTTCATTTCCTTACGAAGGCCTCTGTGTCATGGGTTTATATTAAATAAATCATGTCATTTATATTAAATAAATTTGCATGTTTTTCTCCTGTAATCTGTCTTTGTCAGTTTAATTTTCAGAGGCAGCCAGGGACTCTAAGAGGTTGCCTAGAGGGCCAAGGAAAACTTGCTCCTCCCCTACACTTCTAAGCAACCATATAACAGTCCTATGAGGTAGGTCCTATGATTACTCCCATTTCACAACTAAGGAAACTGAGGCATGGAACAAGTGTGCCATTTTCCCTGGCTACTGGGTCAAGTAAGGTTGGGAATCAAGATATAAACCCAGATATACAGGCACTAGAGCCAAAACTTTTAATGTCTAACTGCAGTGCATCTGTTTATACTCCTAAAGAAAGCGAGAATGAATTCCTTCCAGCTACCAGCTATGGTGTCTATGTTTCAAAGAAAAACAGTGAATAATTGGATTCTTTTTAAAAAGTTTTGAAAGTGTGCCAGTTTAAAACTTCATGAATTCTTCACAATCAGATGAGTCACAAAAATATAAGGCTCAGCTGTTTTTTCCAACATTAATAACCCACTGCAAATGTTTTGTAATTTTTCCTATGCCTACAATCAGCTTTGACTGCTGTGTTTTTTATTAGATGCCACTGGGTTCAGGATGGAAGGACTAACACTAGGTGATTAAAAAACAGAACACAAGTGTCTAGATCCTGAGAAGGAGAGAAAACTTTAAGGTGGTCTTTCCTTCAAATCAAAGATCCTTCCTCACATGTAACTTACAAAAGAGGAGATTTATTTTTCTAGGCCATTAAATGTCTATTTACAGAAAGTAACAAAGGTATCACGAGGATGTAATTTCCTCTGTTGCTCTTGCCCAGGGTTGTGTGAATGGTAAAAATGAAAGGAAATGAAAAACCCAAGAGGACAGAGATGGCGGTAGGCGGAAGAGAAGGATTCAGTACAATTTCTTTATTATTATGAAAACACTCTTGTTCCTATAGCAATACCCTGCATTTTATTTGTGTTTTCCCTTTACTTTCTTTTGAAAACATTATTTACAGGCACATTTCCTTATTCTCTCTTTCTTTAAATGTTGAAGACAGGAAGGAAATGTGTAGAGTTCTTCAGTCTAACTGCTGAAAAGTCAATTAGGAAAAAGTCTTACGGGTAAATAAACAACTCACAAAGATGAAATAAAATAGAAGAGCTTTATTTAAGTTCTCTAAATAAAAATTCAGAGATGGGGTTAGATAACTTTAAATCCACGAATAAACAATTCAACACAAGTAGTTGCGTCCTAGGTTAACACAAAATGTTTAAGCATAAACAGACTGAGAAACAATATTTCCCCATGCAAGAAATATCCTCTCACTTTGTCTCCAGTATCAGTTTTATTGCCTAAGTCTGCAAACAAACTTTTCTGCCACAATATTCCTGAAGGTGGAGGGCAACATACACCTCTACCCAGTATTCTAGGATGTGCTTTAGCAACTTCTTACAAGCAAACTATTTTTTGAAGGATCATGTTTTATATGAATAGTTCATACAAACACCAATATTCTATTCCATAATATAGATCTTGTTTTAGTGCAAAATATTTCTCCCAAAATATTTGAGTAAAACTGATACTTCAGAAAGATTATGGTATCCACCTATGATTTTTCCTACACAGCATTGGGACTATGAGAATCCCAGTTTAGCGTAGTCTAGGTGGCAGGCTTGTGGAATATTTGACATCATCTCTACTCAAAACTCAAGCATCTAAAGTTAAGTAAGATGGAGAACTACACAGATAAAAGAAACCTGCTCACAACTGGCAAATAGATTTGTTTGTGCTTAATTACTGCTGCTCTAACTGCTAGAAGCAATGCTAAGAGGCAATGAGCTTATCTAACAGCGATTAGCAAGAACAAAAAGTGAAGCAAAGTGGGCCTCATAAACCAGGAGGTCCAGAGGTTAAGCATCTACATTTCTCTTTCTGCAAACTACTAACAAGCCTGATTAACACACTTATCTTTCCAAGTTTCTCAAACTTTCACCATTTTCAAAAAGTCTTTCTTTTTCTGGAGCCAGCCATTGCTAGCAAAGTGCTCCTTGTCTTCTGGCTAAAATGCTCTGAAATGTCTGTCTGTTACACAAAAAGACCAAAGTCATCAACTTAAGTCTTTCCCTTTGCACACTTCTTTGCACGCATTTTTTTAAACGTTCTTGTCACATATATAGGAGCCACTGAGTGTGCAATACTCTTCCCAAGGAGTCTGGGAAAGCACTAAACAGGAAATCATACTAAAATAAAACAACACTTAGATGTGCGGAGAGATTTCAAGTGAACACATTTACGCTTGCAGCAGCAGGAGATCCCTCTACGTCACACAATCCCTTCACTCTTCATCTTCAGGCTTAAAAGAAAACCAGACCTCGTGTCAGAAACGTGACTTTGAAAGGCAAGCACTAAGAACGAGTCTGCACCTGTACTCTTGCCCCTGACATCTGACACGGCAGGTCCCTGCTTGTGTGTCCGGATCCTCTGCAAAATGGTGAGCCCCTGGAGGGCAGGAGTTGCTTCAGACTCATGGTTGCATCTCCAGTCTCTGGCTCAAGGAGAGAGTGTTGAAATGTCCGTTGTCGATTGTTAAGTGGACTGGTCTTTGTTTGCATTTCTAATTTGACTCAAAGATCTCCTTGTTTTGATTATGTGCATGTGCTTTCTTCAATAAATCTAAGTTGAAGAGCTTGGTGTGGGGATAGGAGTTTGCGAAACTAGCAACAGTAATTTCTGCAAAGTGGGAACTGGGGAAGACACCAAGATTAAGAGGCCGATCACAAAGGCTGCTATTTTGCCAACTGAACGGTAATGTAAACTTGTTACTGATAAGAGAGCGAATGAGACTGGTTGTAAGAAAATCTGGGTCCCTTTTCAAATGAGATAATATATGAAAATTTTTACAAAAATATATCAGGCACTTAGCAAGAGCACTATACATATCAGTTATTATTGTTATTTCAGTACTTTCTGGACACACTCTTGTCTCTAAGAATATCTTAACTTTACTTCTTGTTTGTTTCTCCTCACCATGATACTCTAGGATTAATGACATTGTGTTTGTAAAGAGTTTTAAAATCCCTGAAGTGTTATAATCAACCCAAGTACCATTTTATTTACGCAAACTGTGTCTACCCAGTGAGTCCACTTAAATATCTAGGATTGGAAACTTCTGTCTCATAAAACTTAATAAATGATTCCCTCCGGCTCTAAAAGCAAGTACTTTTTCAATGACAATGGGAGGGAAAGCAAAGGAATTACTCTGTGACATCTGCTGTGTAATGTTTTTCGAATGGCACATCTCGATAAATGCATGAGAGTCCTTGGAGAGTTACTGCACACAGTGAAGAGAGAATGGTAAAAATCCCAGTGTCTCTGCAAAGGAAGGCAAGACAGGTTAAAGTCAGAAAAGCCCCACGGTTTACATCAATAGAAATCAACAATGATGCATGTAAGCTCGACTTGATGCACAAGGCAGCTTTCCAGGGTCTCGGATAGGAAGACAAAATTAAATTTAAAATTGAGATACGGAGCTAGGGGAGTGATATGTGAGGAGGGAAGAGAGAGGAGGGGATAAAATACTCTACACTACAATTCGGAACCCACGAAATGAGATAAACTACACTTATATGAACTGCCTGGACCTGTGTAAACCAAAATAGCAATTTCAAATTAGTCTAAATATTATCGTATACCCTTTATGTGCCTAGTGTGACTCATACATTCAGATAGTTAATCAATCAGTAAGCTAAGGCAGGTTAATTAACTTTCAAAAGTTAAGATAGCTAATAAGTAGCAGAATAAGATTGCATCCAAGCCATCGGCCCCTAAGCCCAATGTACCTGATACCTGTCCACGCATTGGAGACAGCCTGTGACTGCCAAACCTAAGAACAGGAGGCTCCATGGCAGGACTGGTTTACAAAGGCAGCAGAGTCCACGTATGGAGCGAGGACTCAGCTTTGCCAATGGCTCTCTGTTGGCCCATTAGATGGTATTCAGGACTTTGTTTCCTGCTACTAATGGTCTGAAGATATTTAAAAGTAAATGAAATAATCTACATGGAACACTTTAATCTTCTGGTAAAAATGCTGTATGAGCAATCCCAAATATTATTATTATTATTAATTCATCTAAATTGATGAGAAGAAAGTAAAACTGCCCCTTTTATATACTTGTTCAACTTGCCCTTAAATGGAGAAATTCCCAAGACACTCGCAATGCTACATACTTGATGATCTATTTACTCCACACCTGCATTTTATAACCTTTTGTCTCATTGCATTTGAGTAGGTCTTACAAGCATTCTCAAAACCAATTTTTTGAATTATAATTTTCTGCACTTCCATTGCAGTCTGGAAGTACTTTATAGTGAAAACCACGGGAAGTGAATTGACTCTTTACCTCCAAGTCATCATCAGGGATAGCTCTTTTCCACTTTACGTTCCACCTGATGTGTTCATAGGCATTGACTACAACTTCGATTGCTCTGGGATAAGAATGGCAAGCCTGTATCACCTGCAGAGGGAGGAGAAAGTTCCATTTGTTCAAGGCACATATATGATTCATTCCTTCCATTCACAGAGACATCAAGAATTCTTGGAGGGGCCGCCTCCGTGGCCGAGTGGTTAAGTTCGCGCTCTCCGCTGCAGCAGCCCAGGGTTCGGATCCTGGGTGCCGACATGACACTGCTCGTCAGGCCACGTTGAGGCGGCATCCCACATCCCAGAACTAGAAGGACCTGCAACTAAGGTATACAACCATGTACGAGGGGTTTGGGAAGATAAAGCAGAAAAAAAAAAAAAAAAAGATTGGCAACAGTTGTTAGCTCAGGTGCCAATCTAAAAAAAAAAAAAAAAAACGAATTCATGGAGGGCCGGCCCAGTTGCGCAGTGGTTAAGCTGACACGTTCTGCTTCTCGGCAGCCCAGGGTTCGCCAGTTCGGATCCCAGGTGCGGACATGGCACCGCTTGGCAAAATTCATGCTGTGGTAGGTATCCCACGTATAAAGTAGAGGAAGATAGGCATGGATGTTATCTCAGGGCCAGTCTTCCTCAGCAAAAAGAGGAGGATTGGCAGTAGTTAGCTCAGGGCTAATCTTCCTCAAAAAAAAAAAAAAAGAATTCATGGATATGTAAGGCTTCTTGGAGCCCTGAAACGCTTTTGAGAAGTCTCATGCCTTTGAGTATTCAAACACACTGCCAGCCCCTATGGTGGATGGGAGGATTAATAAAATCAGACTAATTTCCTTCTCTGTCTAGAAGCAAGCAAAAAAGAGTTGCTAACAAAAAGGTGGGAGCCTCCGGAAATGCATGCCCTGCCCTTAATTGAAGCAATTTTGAGATAGGTTGGTCTCAGAATACACTCCCAGCTGCCTGCGAAACTCTTTTGGCTCGATGGAAAAATTTCTTATCAAAAAGCTGAATATTACTAATTCAAGAATTTCAGTCTACTGGTGACTATGAGGTAAGTAAACAATTGAGTAACGTGATTGTTAACCAAAGATGTCCACCCAGTATAACGCCTGAAGACAACTGATGTCACATACCACACACTCGTTGGAATTTTAACACTCATCAACAAATAAAAGAAATGTAGTTATTTTGTTAGCACACTCTGTTCGACAGTTCTTTGGCCAACCAAAAAAACTGGAAAGCGGAGTCAAGGTGGTCAGCCTTTCTCTCAGGAGACAGAAAGATTTAACTTTCGATTTTAGACCAAATTGGATGTTTAACCAACCTTTGACGTAACCATGAAATTTGGACCTACCTGATCAATGAATCATGCAGTGTTTGTTAAGTGACAACGGAGGGATATATGAGACATACCCAAAAAGTAAAACACACTCGTTTCTGGTGAGAGGTTTACATAAGAATGAGAGGCAAAGACACATACATGAAGACCAACGGAGACACATGGTTGGTCCATATATTTAAGTGTTAGATTATATGGTTTAAAAAAATAGGAATTATAGAAATTCCAAGAGGAAGAGCTGTGGGAGTCGGGGTTAACCAGGAAAGATTTCTTGGAGGAGATGAGTTCAACGTTAGATGCTAGATAGTAAAAATGTGTGTGTGTGTGTGTGCGCGCGTACCCATGCCTAGATGCATGCACTTACGTCCCTATCTACAAGTGCAGGATCAGCAAATGTAACAGTTATGTTGAAAGGGAGGTACTTGAAGGGGCACAACAAGAAAAAATCAGGTTTATTATTTTCCTTTCTCCTTCCTATACAAACCCGCTCCCTGGAATCCTTTTCCATTATTGGTGTGAATACTCAGGTAGGACCCTCACCAGTTTCTCATGTTTAATAATAAAAAGTCCTCCAATCATTCTAAACACAAGAACAATGTCATCTTGGTAATAAACATGTTCATTTTAGTTGAATAATTGAAATTCCAAATTTTATTTAAATTAAAAGTTTCTCCTCTCTCGTAGCCCAAGACTGCTTCAAGCTCTAGTGGAAAAGGAGGTATTATGGGTATGACATAATAGGAAGTACATATTTGGTCTTTGTCCCTGGTTCCCGGCACAGAGCCCCTTAAACCCTTGGAGTTTCTTGAGTGATAGGAGCATATTTTGTTATTCATAATACTGTCCTATTAACTATTTCAATTATGCTAAAGAGGTGACTCTCCGTGGGGACTCTAGATAGCTTCAAGATGTGGGCTGGTTCCTGGAAAGACCTGGCCTTGTTTAGAGGGTTGGAACTTTTACACCCTTCTTCTCCCACCTCCAGGGAAGGGGACAGAGGCTGCAGATTAAGTTCAATCACCAATGGCCAACGATTCCATTAATCACACCTGGGTAATGAAACCTCCAAAAAAACCCTTAGTAGATGAGGTTTGGGGACCTTCCAGGCTGGTGAATACATCAAAGTCCTGGGAGGGTGACACACCTGGAGAGGAGAGGGAAGCTCTGTGCACTATCCCCAGACCTTGCCCTATGCATCTCTTCCAATTGTCTGTTCCTCGGTTGCATCTTTTATAACAAACAAGTACTAGTAAGTAAAGCACTTTCCTGAGTTCTGTGAGTTGTTTAGCAAGTTATCAAACCCAAGGAGGGAGTTGTGGGAATCCCCAAATTTTTAGTCAGCCTGGTATAAATGTGACTAGCTTGGGTACCCCATTCATGGCTGGCATCTCAAGTGGGGTCTTGTGGGACTGAGACCTTAACTTGTGAAGTCTGACTCTAACACCAGGTAGTTAGCGTCAGAATTTAAATGAATTGTTGGACACCGAGCTGGTGTCAGAGAATGGGAGAATTGGTTGGTGTGAGAAAAAACATCTCAGTGGGCTTTTCTATTTCCCCACCTTGTCTTTTCCTCCTCTCCTCCTCCCACTTGCCCCTGGACTGCTCAGGGTTTGGATGAGGGAGAAGGAGAGGAAAGGGGAAGCAAAGGTCTTGGCGGACTGGCACCAGCATGACCTCACATTGGTGCCTCTGTGCTGATCTCTTCCCCATGTGGGGAGTTTTGTGGGTTCTACAGCAAGCTGCCCAATTTGGAATAACAACTCTTTAGACAAGGGCAATGTCTCTCTTCAGATTGGCCCCTTACAGCCCTTGTCCCTCCCCAACAGAGGCATCCACCAGAACACCTCCAGCTTCTTTCTGCCGAGATGGCCCTATCTCTGGAAGTCCTTTGGGTGTGGCCTATGTTTATGTCAAACTGATCCAGCTGGCTCTCCAATGTGACCCACAACTGTCCACGGGGAACCTGCACCTATGTCCCATTGTCAGCAAAAGTACTCTTGACCCCCAGTTTAGTCGCCTTTCTTTCCTTTGCCACCAGACAAGCACCTCCAGCTACAAACTTTCTCCTTTAAATTTTCTTGTGATGAGTCATGCATCAGTTCCAGTTTTCCCTTGAAACTTCAGAGAACATATATCAAGCTCTCTGTGAAGTCCTCTTAAAGCCCCTCTCACTGGACATGAGATGAGGAAAAGCCCCCATCCCCACCACTAGAAGGGAGGCACGCCTCTGGACTTAAATTTCTCCTAAGAAATTTTCTTCCTAATTTCCTGGTCCTTTTCAACCTCAACTTATTGTTAACAGTTGAGCAAAAGGTCATGAAACTGGTTTTCCCCACCCCTTTACAAGACCTTCATAGGTGGTCTAGCTTTGCATTTTTCAATGTAGGGTGGCAAGTACCTAGTCTTGGGGCCTCAGGCAAAACTGAGACAGAAAGATTATCATTTTAATACCAAGTTAAGTAAACGTGTGTGTGTGTACACACCAAGGTCACACGAACGAAGGGCCCATGTCAGAAAAGGTCTAAAGTTAAGAGCAGGTAAGATGGAACCAGCTGACAGCACACCTGGAATGCCAGTCCAAAGAGCTTGGGATGGACTTAGGCAATAGGAGCCTATTACCCATTCTTAACAAGAAAGGGTTATATTCAATCAATGCATTCCATTAAGAAGCTTTCATCGAGCACTGTGTTTAGCACTGTGACAGTGATTCTGAGAAGTTTATGATCCAGTTTTTTGTCTTCAAGGAGTTTACAACCCAGGTGAAGAGAAAAGACATAGACATTTCAAAGAGTTAGAGAGCAATATAAGTCAGTAAATAATGAGACTAACTTAAAGATCACCAAGTGTCCCTTAAGGAACATGAAGCAAAGCACAAAGGAGAAAACAAGGATATTAAGGGCAGTGAGCAGTGAGGAGGCTGAACGGGAGTGCACCAAATGGCTTCACTGTCAGTCACGAGAATGCTGAGAAGGAAGAAGTGGGGCTTAACGACTAACAGATGTGGGAAGTAAAGAATGCAACTTTAAAGCCAAATGGAGTACCACTGATGGAAATGAGGAAATTGGAGGGGCATACCAATTCGGGGACAGTTAGATACTGAGCAAGAGAATATTTCATATGCAATGTCCTAATGTCAGTCAAAAACGTGCATGATAGATGCTCTAAGGAGAAGGCCAAGACAGAGACAAAGATTTGTGCACCATCAAAGAATGTGCCGGCTAAAGTTATGATACTCAATGTACTCCAAGAGGGTCTAAGTGGAAAAGGTAGAGGACCGAGGTCTGGAGCTTCAGGAATTCTAATAGGCAGGACAGAGGAAGAAGGGAAAAAATAGTACTTGTCATTTTTTAAGGACAACTTATGTGCTAGACACTATGTTAAATCTTTGCATATTTAGCTCGCTCAATCTTCAAACAATTCTATGAGGTTAGTCCTACGATTATCCCCATTTTATAGATTTAAAATCGAAGGCTGAGAAAATTTAAACTCAAGGTTATTTAACTAGTAAATGAGAGAGCTAGGATTCAAACTCAGGTCTGTGTGACTCCAACCAGACCAATCGGAATGAAAGACACCAAACGAGGAGAGCATTCAAAGCTGGGTGATCAACAGGGCCGTGAAGATCAGAGAGATGAAGACAGATTAAATACCACCAAATTTGATTATAAGGTCAAGGTACCAGAAGTTGGGTGGACTGAAACAGGTAAGGGCCAAATTGTGGGAAATAGATAGGTGATGGATGCCCACTGTAAGTAAGACTGACC